CAGAGAGCAAAGACCTGCTGAGGTAGGGCCTTGGCCCCCATCCCCACACTCCCACCATGATAGGGTTCTCTGGAGAAGGTGTCAGTTGGTGGGTTTGGCAGCCTGCGATTGCATCTGGGCTGGCCCCTGGAGTCCGCACGGCTAAGCAGCAGGGGAAAAGCTCTGACAGCAGAGAACGGAGGCAGGTCACCCTATGTCATCATCATGGTGATGGTGATCATTGATCTTACGCTCAACCCTCAGTGGTGCTCAAGACCTCCCCTCCATCACCCTGCAGGAAAGACTTTGGGTGAAAGGGGAGAGGGATTGAGGACAATCCAGGGGACTTCCCTGAGGTCTGTAAGTGGAAGAGGATTCTCTTCTCTCCCTGCTCCATAGAATAAACACCAAGAGGGCCAAACAGGCCAGGGAGCAGGCCGCGGAGAGAGCAGGATGCACAGGTCTAACTTGAGAGATGAAGAAGGGATTGAGGCTCACGTGTGGCTCAGCCCGGCATGCCAGCAGAGAAGGCCAGAGACAAGCTCACCCCCAGCAGTCCTGGCTAGAACGAGTTGTGCATTTGCCTATAATGCCCTCCTCACCAGAGAAGTAGCACAGCCACGAAGCCCAGGGGCATCGTGCCATGGAAAGCTGCTGACTTCAGGGGAGATAGGGCCGGCCATGGCGTTTCTTGGCGTAGTAATTAGAACTTAGGGTTAATGCCACAGTTTTCCTGAGAACACATCAGTGCAATTATAAAGCATATCAATGGGGCAGTGATGATTCACTCTGCAAAGAATCTAAACAAACTAGTCCTTTCTAATTCCCATTACAGCTTTTCATGAAGGGAGGCATACATGTTTTGTGGTTGAGGAAAAAGAATGCCTATCACCAGCTCTTACGTGCAGTAACTTATCTGTTAGTTTGTGAAGTGATCAAACCCCTTCTGGGAGACAGCCTGAACTGGAGAAAGGGAAACAAAATTGCACCTCAGCTAACATAATGGCCGCACTGGTAAATCTGAAACAAGGAGCTCAAGGGGTTTGAGAGCACCAGATTGGATTATGAAAATTTCACGGGTTAATTGATGAAAACTTGGTCCTTTAAAAAAGTGTATAACTCCGGGGTGCCTGGGCGGCTCAGTTGTTAAGCGTCTGCCTTCGGCTCAGGTCATGATCCCAGTGTCCTGGGATCGAATCCCCCGTCGGGCTCTCTGCTCAGCAGGAAGCCTGCTTCTCCCTCTCCCACTCCCCCTGCTTGTGTTCCCCCTCTCACTGTGTGTCTCTCTGTCAAATAAATAAATAAAATCTTTAAAAAAATTAAAAATTTTAAAAAAATTAAGAAGTATATAACTCCACAAAGGAAAAGACTGATAGGTGTAATGGCATAAAAAATCTTCTGAATTCATACATACACATGTGCACACACAAATCCACCAGAAATAAAATTAAAAGCCAAATAGTAAATCAGGAAAAAAATCTTGCAACCTAGAACACAAAGGTTTACTTTATTTAATATATAAAGAGCTTTCATAATTCAATAAGAGAAAGGTGAACACTAATAGAAAAATGAGCAATTTATTAAAAAATAAATAAGAATCATCAATAATCAGAGATACAACTGAAATAAATAAGAGATGAAATTCTTTCCTGTCAGGCTGAAAGATGAAAAAAGAATTAAAGATACACCACAGATGAGGCAAGGAGTGGAAATTTTCACACACGCCGGCCAAGTTTGACAAATTCAAAATTTTAAATGCATATATCCCCTTTGACTTATCAACTTCATTTAGAGGAAAGCACCCCAAATAACCATGAATGTGAGAAAAGATTTAGCTATAGAAAACATTTATTATAACATTGTTAATAAAATATATAAAAGAAACAACCTAAATGCTCCAAATTGAGGATTTAAATATATTATATTTTAAGAACAGCCATTTACTACTAGGATACAATGCAGTCTTTAAAAGTGGTTATTTAAAGGGGGCACCTGGGTGGTGCAATCAGTTAAGCATCCCTGACTCTTGGTTTCAGCTCAGGTCGTGATCTCATGGCTGTGAAATCGAAACCGGTGCTGGACTCCGTGCTTAGTGTGGAGTCTGCTTGAGATTCTCTCCCCCTCTCCCGCTGCCCCTCCCCCCACATGTGTGCGCTCTCTCTTAAATAAATCCTTTTTTAAAAAGTGATTATTTTAAAAGGGTGATTTCATCTATGTTGACCACGTTGTAATATAGTTCTAAATATATAATTTTATGTAGTATCCATATCTATATATGTATATATGGAATGCTCCTCTGAGTAAAGTCATTTAGTTCGGAGATTGGGATCTAAAAATATGTAAATATATGATAGATAGGTATAGATATAGTTAGATAGAATATCAGAATAATATTCTATCAAATACTAACACTTATTTCTATGTTTGTGTTAACTCACTTATGCTGCTTGTTTTTCTTCCAAATGCTTTGTAAAAATTACTTTATATGCAAGGGGAAAAAATACAACCATTTCAAAAACACAGAATGCACATGTGGACAAATATCCTTGAGGTGGAAGCATCCCTTTTGGTCACTGAGGATTTGCAGAGTAAGCAAAAGAAGTCCACAATGAATCACTTAGAATTAGAGTAGCCATATAATTTATCACCAAAACCAGGACACTTTTGAGACTGAAAGGACAAGCTATTAATAATTTTGTATAATCCGGGACTCCCCAGGCAAACTCAGCCATGTGCTCATCCTACTTAGGATGAAAAATCTGTTTAACTTGCCTTTGAAAACAACCCAGAGTTGGAGTATTAGAGTGAACCACGAACACAGAGCTCCCTTTTATCAGTACAGTCGGGTGCCATTTCTAAACATGCCAGCCAGATGGTTAAAGAATCTTGAAGAGTTCAAGTTTCTCACCTGATGAGCTCCTATCCACAGAGCCCTCATTTTAGAGATTCGTTCTTGACAAAAGGTATTTCTCAAAGAATTATGCCACTTGCCGAAGAACACACAGTATTATACTCAAGTTATCTCATACTGTAGATTTTAATCTTGGAAACATTGTGTAACACTTTCAAACCCTTCCTGATTCCAAATCCCCTTGTGACTTGCCTATTTTCCACTAAGAGCTCTGTTGTAGGGAATTATTGTTTATTTTATTTATTTATTTTTTTAAAGAATTGTCTTTGTTTTTTTTTTTTAATATTTTATTTATTTATTTGAGACAGACAGAAATAGTGAGAGAGAGCTCGAGCAGGAAGAAGGGGGAGAAGCAGGCTCCCCGCGGAGCAGGGAGCCCGATGCGGGGCTCGATCCCAGGACCCCGGGATCATGACCTGAGCCGAAGGCAGAGGCTTAACCATCTGAGCCACCCAGGCGCCCCGGGAATTATTGTTTATTGACTTGAGGCTCTCACTTAAGGCCACTCTCCCTCATGCAAACTCTGCCCACGGGCTGTTCACGTCCTCCCCCAACCCCCCAACACCATCTTTCCCAGCCCAGCTCAAATTTCTCCTCTGCCCCAAGCCCTCCACTGCCACAGCAGCAACCCTGGCCTGGCATTTATCATCTGCACATCGGAACAGCCCCTTCTCAAGGGCTAGCCTGTTCTCCAATCACCGACTACACACACATCTCTCCCCACCCCTGGTGAAAGCAACTACTCAGTCTATGCGACCCGGCGCAGGGCCAGGCCGGGCCAGTCTGTCAACCTCTCTCCAATTATGAAGAGTGGCTTGTTTCCAATTATGAAACAAGGGTTGCAATTCCTTTAGATACCCCACCTCCCACCCAAACTTGACTATTTACTAGGCATTAGAAGAGACTTTTTTTTTTTTTTTTTGCTTAGCCAGAGTCTGCGAATGCCAACGTATTTGCATAGGTGGAAAAATTAAAGACTTCTCAACTGAGGCAATCGGTGAGGCCTTTCCCCCCTAAAAGCACCATGAAATGGAACACACTAGAGATTCAGAACCAAGTCGGAACAGAGAGTAGTGTCGTGTGTTATAAAGATGGTTACGTCGCCACAAGGGCACAAGGGATGAGAGCTCAGACAGGTTCTGTTAACACATAGGATACTATCACTCCCACCTTACAGTATTTTACTTGGATTTGATGCTCCCTGTATGGGGCCTACATGGAGCACGTCAGCTGATCAATGCTCCAACATTTGCCCTCACTCTCCTAAGAGTCCGGCACCTGCCATTTCTTGGCATTGATCACACACTAGGAGACATACGTTGCTAAATCAATCATGGGTCAATCCATAATTGAAACGACACTCTTTGCACCTCCTGCTGCCAAATTTATAAACTGATATACATGTCAATGTCTCCTCCTCCAAGCCAAGCTTAGGATGACTTAAACCGTAACAGAAGTATGAACAGCCAAATTTAGATAGCAGGATTGTTCTATTTATTCCATCACGCAAGGCACTCTATTTCCCACACAGCTCCCAGCTGAACTGCTAACATACAGAGAGTCATCAATAACCACCTTCTTTGCTGCTGGTCCATCTAGCACTTTCATGAGCTTTAGGGAGAGGCGTACTTTCTTGAGGAAACTTTACTTCTATTAGAAAATTGCTTCATGGTCCTGATTTTGTTCGAACAAGCCACTTTTGTGCCATCTGCCTAGAAAACTGTCACAATAAATCTATGTCTGTCCTGTGAATGGTGCTCCTTTAAAAGTGGCACAGTTGTGCAGTGTACAACCTGTGCAATGGCTGAGGCCAGGTGTTTGATAACTTTGGAATATAAGAAACCAAAGGGAGGGCGCCGTGCTTTACTTCCACTCTGTGCCTCACTTTTATCATCCGTAAGTTGGGAATAATAGGAGCTATCTAGCATGGGTGTCTTAGCCCTGATCAACGTTCCCATTAGAGTAGGTAAGCCATGGTCTGTAAGGGATTCAGAGAGAAAGAGGCGACCACATGACTTGATTATTGCATAAGAACTATATTCATTTCCTTTGATTCTACAAATTCACCCAATAACATAATTTGGCTTTCATATATTGAAAGGACAAAGACCTTGGGTTTAACGCGTAGTGATGGATGACGGCTCTCACAGCCCCGCCACACTCTTACTGGGTTTCTGTGTGAGGAAAGAAGCCCACGATGACAAAGATTGCTGGGGGTTAGGGGTTCATTCTCTGGAAATGAAAAAAAAAGAAAGAAAACTAGAAATTAGTTGCCCTCCATCAGGGTTTCTGACTCTTATCACTATGATTTGGGGCTGGATAAATCTTCCCATGCATCTGAAGGCAGGATATTTACCGGCATCCCCGGCCTCTACCCACCAGATGCCAATAGTAAACACCAGCCCCAGTCAGGACAACCAAAAATGTCTCCAGCCATTGCCAAATATACTTGGAGTGAGGAGGGGAGGCAGCGAAATTATCCCTGGTTGAGAAACACTGGCCTACATGGAACTGTAAATTTATAGCCTCAGTATCATTCTTGGGACGTAGTAATCTATGGTTTTTTCTTTTTTTTTTAAAGATTTTATTCATTTATTTGAGAGAGAGAGAGCACATGGGGGGGGTGGTCAGAGGGAGAAGCAGACTCCCTGCCGAGCAGGGAGCCCGATGCGGGACTCGATCCCGGGACTCCAGGATCATGACCTGAGCCGAAGGCAGTCGCTTAACCGACAGAGCCACCCAGGCGCCCAGTGAAACTTTATTTATTTATTATTTTTTTAATAAAGATTTTATTTATTATTTGACAGAGAATGAGAGAGAGAGAGCACATGAGAGAGAGGAGGGTCACAGGGAGAGGCAGACTCCCTGCCAAGCAGGGAGCCCGATGCGGGACTCGATCCCGGGACTCCAGGATCATGACCTGAGCCGAAGGCAGTCGCTTAACCAACTGAGCCACCCAGGCGCCCGGGACGTAGTAATCTAAAATAAGCTGGCCTCCAAACAACAGAGACCTGGGCTTTACTCTAAGTTCTGCAGCGATTATTTTATGAACTTAAAGATACCAGGCTTCTGTCAACCTCTCTCATTCCAGTTATGAAACGAGGGTTGCAATTCCTTTAGATACCCCACCTCCCACCCAAACTTAACTATTTACTAGGCGTTAGAAGAGACCTTTTTTTTTTTTTGCTTAGCCAGAGTCTGTGAATGCCAAGGTATTTGCATAGGTGGAAAAATTAGGTGTCATATAAATATAACTCAAACTCTGGCCTGTCATATAAATATAACTCAAACTCTGGCCTGTCTAATATAAATATAACCCAAACTCTGGCCTCTCATTTTCAGGATTTCCTCCTTTTGAGGGTATTGGGCTGGGGCTAGAAGAAAGGCGTTAGGGACTGCTGGGGGCTGTCCCCTGCTCATTTTGTGCCTGGCCACCTCCCAGGGTGCGGCGACTGCCTTCTTCTCTCAAATAATGGAACTGCTACCACACAGGACTGGCAGGAAGTAAAGCCAGCAACTTGCAATCTTCTATCTATGGCTCCCATGTAAGTGTAAGCCCCTGATTCAATTTCCCACAATGCCGCTACCTAAGACCAGGCCATTTAAAACCTTGAGGGAAGCAAAAGAAAAGACAACACAGAAAACCTTATGACTGGTTACTGGGTTTGAACGATTCCTGACTCATAGCTAGGTCATCATCCCAGAAGGGGTCCCCTACTGGACACTACCTGGCCCGGCTCCTGGCCCATGAGAGGCTCTAACCTACCTGCTCCCCACATGGGGGGAGCTCAGCCCTCATCCCAGATCTGCTCCCTCCCTCTGCTTCAGCCTCTAGTGCTCATGACCCCTTCTTCTCACCCTGGGATGACTGACAGACGGGAATATCCCCATAGAGTCTCAACCACTAACCACAGGGGTTGGCCTTTTTAGATAGTTGGAAGGACAATCTCTCAATAATTCATTTTCCTTGGGCGCCTGGGTGGCTCAGTTGGTTAAGCGACTGCCTTTGGCTCAGGTCATGATCCTGGAGTCCCAGGATCGAGTCCCGCATCGGGCTCCCTGCTCAGCAGGGAGTCTGCTTCTCCCTCTGACCCTCCTCCCTCTCATGCTCTCTGTCTCTCTCACAAATAAATAAAATCTCAAAAAAAAAAAAAAATTAAAAAAAGCAATTCATTTTCCTAAATCTGAGATATTTGGTTTGGAAAATCACCTTGGGGGAGGCTTTCCCCATGAGTCCAAGCTGGCTGTAGCCCTTGGCCCAAGCTTTATGGTAACCATGAAATGGGCATGAGGTCAGGTTTCCAATGATCTTCCTCACATGGGCCGGTCTCCGTCTTGAGATGTCCCCATGACAACTGTTGAACAATGACACCTATAACACACTTTTCAGGAATAAAAAATACTTCCCAAGAGATAGAGTACTGTGGTCTGAATGATTGTGTTCCCCCATAAATTCATATGGTTGAAATCCTACTCCTGAAGGAAATGGTGTCAGGAGGTAGGGCCTTTGGGGCCTGGCGGTGGGGGAAGAGTGGGTCGTGAAGGTGGAAGCCTTATCAAAGAGACCCTAGGGAGCTAGCTCGCCCCTTCCACCATGTGGAGACATGGTAAAAAGGTGCCATCTACGAACCAAGAAGCCCTCACTGAACACGGCATTTTCCAATGCCATGGTCCTGGACTTGCAGCCTCCAGAACTGTGAGAAAGACAATTTTGTTGTTTATAAGCCCTTCAGTCTGTGGTAATTTGTTACAGCAACCCAAACAGACCAAGACAGAGGATTCTCAGTCCATAGTGGAAAAGAAACATTTTTTCCCCGACACACCAGCAAAACATATTATAAAACAAGAGCAGTTAAAACTGTTAACTTGGTATGGAAAAGACAGGCCAAGCCATGGAACAGAAAAGAGAGCTTAGAAACAGACCCATGTATTTGGGAAGTGAGTGTATGACTGATCTCTATGGAAAGAAAGGCTAAGCTATTCAATATATGCCTGGGGAAAACTGGTAACTGGGAAAAGATCAAAAGTTAAATTTTTACCTCAGATCATTAACCAAAAATATCTAAGAGCTAAATGTAAAAACAAAAACCTGTAAAGCATAAAGAAAAAATATAAGAAAAAATTCTGTGACCTTGGGGGAAGAGGTCTTCTTAAGCAAGACACAAAACACAAAAAGCCTCAAGGAAAAATCTAATACACCTGACTACAACCAAATGAAAAAAAAAAAGTGTATAGAAAAGATGCCACACATGAGGTTAAAAGAAGACAAGCATCAAGCTGGAAAATTACATTATTTTCAAACAGACAAAAGCTCTCAATCTAGAATGTATAGAGAATTCCTAAGAATCAATAAAAAGATCTGAAAATGCCAATAAGAAATCATCAAAAGGTACCAACAGCAATTTGCAGAGTAAAAATACAATGGACATAAGAACGAATGCTCAAAAATATACCAGAAATGAGGGAAGTGAAAATTAAACAAGATATGTTTTTACCCTAATATTGGCAAAATTAAAATGTCTGAAAACGTTGGGTAGGAATTAGGGCATGAGGCAATGGGCCCATTCCTATGCTGCTAGTGGGAGCATGAATCAGTCAGCTACTTCAGAAGACAATTTGGCAGAACTATGAAAATTTAAAATGCGCATACCCAGCAATTCTACTTTGGGGTAGAAATACTCCCTCATGCCCAGGAAGCAGATCTAAAAATAAAGATGTTGACCACTCTGTTTTTTGTAAAACCAGAAACCTCAATGTCTATCACTAGGACAACAGACAGACTCCAGACCATTATATGGAATAGTATGCAGCAGTTTAAAAGAAGAAGGTATTTCTGCTTATAATGACATGCAATCGCATGTGTGAAAAAAGAAAATTGCTGCAGAAAAATATCCACAAAATGGTCTGTTGCACTGTCAATCCTGTTTATGCTCATGCAAGGCTTCTTTCTCAACCAGGGATAAAACACATCTCTCTACAAAATGACGCTGCTCATGTTTAAAAGAAAATAAGAACACACATGTGGCAATATCATCTATGCCTGTGATGATAAATATAGACAGTAGGTAAATGTATAGAGAATGGTTTGGAAAACTGCCTTCAGAGTTGGAGGCATGGGAGGATCTGGGGGCAGGGACGTGTCCACGTTTGAAGGAAATACTCAAAGGGAATTTTCTCCTTATCACTACCGTTTCACTATCTCATGGGAACACATTCATATGTAACCTTTAGAATATAATATTAAATTGCTTTTTACAAAAGACAATAAACTGTTTTTGGAGGGAGGAAGTCATTTGCAGAGACCCCACTTGGCTTACTATTAGGACAACTATTTTCATTGCTGTGCAAAAGCAGTTTTGCCTCCAAGCACGTGGGATTTTGCAGTTCCTTGGCAGAACAGAAAAGTCTTAAAGGGCCTTCTCCAGAACAAAGGGATATGCGCCCTACCCTGAAGTCCACATCAGATGAAGTTTCAGGCAGAAGACTGCTGACACAAGTCTCTACCAACTGATGCGGGACAGCAGGCCCATAGGAAGGAACAGGAGCTTGGGTTTCCTTTCTAAGTAGGATGGTCAGAAGCAACCACAGGAGCCCTCCTAGCATCAGAGGTCGGCTTGTTTCTGACTAGCCGCTGTTGTCTACACAACACATTGCAGCTAAAATAAGAATCAGCAGGGCACCTGGGTGGCTCAGTCGTTAAGCGTCTGCCTTCGGCTCAGGTCATGATCCCAGGGTCCTGGGATCGAGTCCCACATTGGGCTCCCTCCTCAGGGGGGAGCCTGCTTCTCCCTCTCCCCCTCCCGCTGCTTGTGTTCCTGCTCTCGCTATCTCTGTCTCTGTCAAATAAATAAATAAATAAAATCTTTAATAAAATAAAATAAAATAAAATAAAATAAGAATCAGCAAACATTTACAGTGGTCCGCTGTGCACCAGGCCCTAGGCTGGGGGCTCCATACCCTGAATCTCACTTCATCCTCACAATGATCTGAAGAGAGGAACCTTGGTAGCCATTTAACAGATTGCAAAACTGAGGTTGGGATGGATGAAGAAAGGTTTTCAAGCAAATGACTGAAGAGCGATTCTCATTTACCACCTGCCGATCTCAAGCCCCTGCTCTGGCCCCAACCCCGCACCGCCTCGCCAGCTATATGAACAGGTGAGTTTGGAGGGGTTGGGGGGGGCGGCTTTGCTCCAATTAATAAGTGCCCATGAGTCTTAAGTTTGTCTATATTTATATTCAGGTGAAGGGCCAAAAGTGATTTCTACGACAATGCCAAAGAGACGCTATCTTTTCTCCTGCCTCACCCCTGAAGAAGAGCGATGGACAGAAATGGGGCAGGCTCTGCCACGCTCAGGGGAGCAGAGACCTCCTTGGCCTGCAGCAGCAGAGGGGTTCCAGGGAGCCCTGAGAGAGCAAAGTCCCAGATGAGTCTGCCCGGGCTGTCAAGGCAGCTGTCCCTCAACACCATGCATTCCCGTGTTGGACTTTTCTGCCAGTCAGAATGCAAATTGCATGTTTTTGTAGTTCTGTTTATCACTAGAGTCCCTGTTTGTTTGGATCAGACACATGGCTAGGGCCTTATACTGAAACCAATACCCCAAAGCCGCAAAGCCTGGAATTCCTATTTTCTTTCCTACTCCCGTTGCTACTGGGGGTCTTTTCTCCCGGTCCCCTTTGATCCAGCGACATGTGAGGGTCAGGGAAGAGGCAGGTAATCTTGTCTAACAAGGCAAGGGAGACAGCACACCTGCCCTCCAGATGCTGTGAGCTCTTACAAAAGGTAACAATGTATGTAACAAATTCCCCCCCCCCCAATTACAATGCTCAGAGAGAGTGGGTTTGGGAAATAAATTTAGAGAGAAGAGTGGCAGATGGGATAGATGGATTCAATTAAGACAAAGAACATCAAACAATTCCAGGGATGCCTCATTCTAATGGAATGTCATTTTCTCCTCTCCAGGAAGCTCCCAACAACAGTCTAGGTAGGAAGTAGGCTGCACACACAGCACCTCGACCCCAGCAGGAGCTTAAGATCCTCAGATGAGAGTGCTAATATTACCTCTTCTCTTCTTTTCAATAAGGAGGTAAAAGCGCATGAATCAGACTAAATGAATGCAGGCTGCGTATTAGATGCACATCTCTCCAGAACCAGGTGTTATTCAAATTAAATAGGTATTTTCTACTGCCATCTCTGTGGAACTCATTTCTTTATTTGGTCTATAGAAGAGTCTCCTTTTTAATTAAATCAACCACTGTTATTTTTCTAAGAAAGATGATAAAACAATAAAAATATTTACACCCCTTTTATCTTCCCAAACATTAATCATGAAGGGAAGAAGGTGTTATACCTTTGCTAGACAGTTTTATCACATAAACATTGTACTAATACGCTTTAAATGATTGTTTTGCGGGTCAATTTATACCTATTAAGAATGTATAAAATTCTTGTTGCCACTAACAATATTTGTAACTCTTTATTACCAAAAGGAATTCCAGTCTGCAATAGATTTGCCGTATGTATAATTGAGATGTAAGTATAGATGTGTATATAATACTTTATATGCACCATGTTGACCCAAATGCTACTCCCGGCTGACCTCAATTTTCATCTAAAGTCAAGTGTAGAAGTCTAGTAGTCTGATGAGCAATGCTTCTGTCCTTCTCTGGCTCCCAGTGGTATAATTTTAATTGACAGCCATGTTCTCCAGTTACTAAGTCATAGGTGGGTTAGAGTTTCACAAAGTTGGTATTATTATCTCTGTAGTCAGTGCAGACACTGGGCAAGGCTGAGGGTAGAAACCGCAATTCTACTGCAGAAGTCTAACTGCAGTAATGCATACGCGTTCTGATTATCAGCGAACAGGCAATGTATCCAACATCTATTTTGTAGAGATGCTAAACCACTTCTAGGTTCCAGCCCCTACTTCACTATGTTACAAACTAAAATGCTCCCAGCTAGAAGGGAATAATATTTAGGCTGTCATATCGGCTTCGGGGTGCTGTGTAGAAATAATCTCTACTTGAGAGACTTGGCTGGGGGCGTAAACTAATATTAAAATACTGGACCACTGCCTTGTTTCTCTGAGACTGAGGTGACCTGACTCCTCAGGATGATAAGCCACCGTTGGTTTTTTGGGTGGTTTAAAATGGCTCCTGAGAGCGGAGAATTTTCTGGAAGCTTACAACCACTGGGCTTGAGTCCCTTCATCACACTACTCTCCACACACCTCAAGGATGGCGGGGTTGTAAGGGCCCCAGTGTGACAGCACCACAATCAGTAAAGACTTGTTTCCAACAGTTATATCATGACCTTGTCATGGGTGAATTCTTTCCATAAAGTAGTGATTGAGTTTAAATAGCAAAAAAACTTGAGTACCCAGAGGTAAAGGTAAATTATAAAACTCAGCATGTAGGAGATACTAGAGTCAACCGGTCCCACCAAGCTGGCAAGGATGATACACAATTCAGACTCAAATGAGGCTCAAATGAGGACCAAGGAACAGTGCTCAGACAACATTGCTTTGTTATCTAATCCCTTTATATGCAAACCATTCTGTATTAGTTATGTATTCTTACGTAACCAGTTATTCCAGAATTTTCTCAACTTAAAACAACAAACACCAATTATCTCATAGTTTAGGGGGCGTCAGGAATCCAGGAATGACTTACCTGGGTGCCTCTATCCCAAGGTTTCTCACACACGTGGGCCAGGGCTGTGGTCTTGTCTCAAGGCTCCACTGGAGAAAAATATATTTCCAAACTCATTCACGTGGCTATTGGCAGGATTCAGCACCTCATGGGCTGTTGGACCAAGGGCTCAATTCCTCACTGACTGTTGGCCAGAGGCCTCCCCCGGTTTCCTGCCACCTGTGCCTCTCCATAGGGCAGCTCACAAGATGGCAGGGGGGCTTCCAGTGAGAGCAAGAGTGAACAAGATAGAATCCACAGTCTTTTTGTGAACCAACCTCAGAAGTGACATCCCATTTGTTTTGCTATATTCGATTTGTTAGTGGCAAGTCCCTTGGTCCGGCCCACACTGAAGGGAGGGGATCACACAAGGACATGAATACCAGGATGTGGGAATCACTGGCATCATTTTAGAGGCTGCCTACCACATCTTCCCTTGCATGCACAATACAGAAATAGACACGAAAAAGTGGAAGGAAAATCAGAAAGCAGGAGGGGAAGGGAAAATGTTCCAGGATCTAATTACCTAGGCCTCTGAGCTCTCTCTCCCCCCAAATCCAGCCATACAACATACCTTCTGATGAGGCTCTCTTCACAGAGTCTTTCATACCTGCCCCCTCCTCTCCATCTGCATGGGACCACCAAAGTTCATTTGGCCTTCACTTCTTCACACACACACACTGCAGCACTAATTCTAATCTGCTTCCATATCCAGTAAGTCCTGGGCACCACAGCCTTTCCAAGTCACCCTTTCTACTTACCCTTATGCACCAGAAAGCCCCTTTAGTGGCTCCCCACTGTCAAACAAAACCCAAACTCTTTAGGTTGCCCTTCAGTGCCTTCCATAATTTGACCCAGCCATGACTATACTTCCAAACCCCCAATAATAACCCACCATCCCAAGTAAACCATGTTCAACCCCCCAAACACACCACACTTGTGCTCAGCTTGAAGCCTCCATTAATACCGTCAATCCCCTTCCCTTGGCAAGACCAGTCGTCACCTTACCATGATAAATCCTCCCCAATTTCTAAGGGACAGAGCAAACCCTATCTTCTCTGTGATACATTTTCTGGTCATTCCAAACTACAGTTTAGTTCCTCTTATGATTAGGCACAGCTCTGAGAGACCCTACCATTCACTGCCTTGGCCAGTCACTGCACACTTGTGTTGTTTTTCCAAGGAGTTGATAAATTTCACACCTTCCTTCTTCCATAGAGACCATCAGACTGCATCTCCACAAGGGACTAGGTCTCATTTGTCTTCCTCTGTGGAAGGCACTAGTCCATGACAGGTAATATTTGTGGAAAAGGGATGGATGGATGGATGGATGGATGGGTATTTGGAAGGAAGTGTCAAGCACAGTGTCTAGCATATCTTAAGAGGTCAAAAAGTAATACATCTTTGTTAATACCACCAATTCTTAAAATGAGAATTTTCCACTCACTGGCATCTCAGCCACTTAGTGGTTCCTATGTAGAAACCCTTCCAAAGACAGCAGAGGTGAATCAAATTTGTCTGGGTCAAGCCCATTCCCACAAATATCACAACCAAAGACCAATCCATAGCTCCTCCTTCATTGCCCATCCTAACCCTGGCTTTGAGGTACAGGATGCCAAATGCAAGGGCATCAGATAGATGGCACAGCCGGGACAGAACTCAGTCAGTACGGAGCAACTTCAAATCATTGTGCTTCAGCCACGGGGCAGAAACAAAAGCGGTAAGAACTAAAAGGGTACTGGGGAAAATGACAAATAGTTCCATTGTGGGGGAGTGACCATATATTTTCGGTAATTCCTAGGAAACAAAAGGATTCAAAGAGAGAAAACAAGAAAGAGATACCAGAAGACCTTCTAAGGCCTTTGTTGCCCACCCCTAGGGAGAGGAGGCGAAATCTCAGCTAAAGCATCAAACATCCAGAATTCAGAAGAAATCGAACGCTTCCTTTCTAGCTGGCTAGAGCAGTTACGCCAGGAGTGAATGCTCCCAGGAGTCAGATGCCTGGCCCTAGGTTGCAGGTGCTAATCCGAGCCACCCTCGCATCACGGGTAGGGAGGCTGGAAACTGCTACAGGGGCTTGGCCCAGTAAGCGGCATCTTCCGTGCGGTGAATGTGCTCTCCCGGAATCGTGGTCCTGGAGCAAGGTCCGCGCAGTGGTTCCCGGAGAACCCGAGACACGCGTCGCGCAGAGCATCTGGGGGCACCGCGGCCCTGAGTTTTGAGCTTTGCAATGTCCCGCAGCCTGACTGGGCTGGGTAGGCAACTGCTCTCGCCCCAAACTCACCTGCTTTTTAGAACCACTTCCATCTACCCATGGGTCTCAGCTCCCAAAGGCATCCGCGGAATCCTCCACGGTCCCAAGGTCCACCGTGACAGGAAAGAAAGGGAGAAGGGAGTGGTGGCTGGGAGGAGAGGTCATCACCAGGGTCCCTCCCCGGCTTGGGATGCTCGTAGGGGGAAAGCCCTGCCGGGCTCCTCCGCACTGGGCCGCGGGGGGTCTCCGCAGGGGGTCTCCGCAGGGGGTCTCCGCGGGGCGGGGGGGGGGGGCGCCTCACCGTGGACGACAGGGAGCCGGCGAGGGAAGGACACGCTGGAAGGGCTGCATGCAAAAAACTTTCCGTCGTCTGGCGGCCACTCTGCGGGGAAGACCTCCCCGCCTACGGCCCCCGGGTCGTGCCTCTCCCCGGCCAGCCCCCCGGCCCCCGCCCCGCACGCCCCGAGCGCCCCGGTCCCTGCGACGCGGGCTCCGGCCGCGGGCGCACGGGGCGGCGGTGGCGGCGGCGCCGCAGCACCTCCGCGCCCGCGCGCGCCGCAGCCTCCGGGCCCCGGCACGCGGCGCTGGCCCGGCGCGCGGCCCCGCCCCCGGCGGGCAGGCGGGCGGGCGGCGGGCGGGCAGGCGGGCGGGCGCGCGGGCGCGCGGCGAGCTGCAGGCGCCTCTCTGCTGCCTCTGGCGGCCGCGCGCCACCGGCCGAGAGCAGCGGGCCCCGGGCGCCGAGCGCCGGCTCCTCCTCCTCTCTCTCTCCCTCCCCTCCTCCGCCGCCTCCCCGCTCCCTCCTCCCGTCCCTCCCTCCCTCCCCCTTTCAGAGCACTCAATGTCGGAACGTTCCGAAGATGACGTCGGAGCGTTCTCGAATCCCGTGTCTCTCGGCTGCTGCTGCCGAAGGAACAGGGAAAAAGCAACAAGAAGGAAGAGCAATGGCGACACTGGATCGCAAAGTGCCCAGTCCGGAGGCGTTTCTGGGCAAACCCTGGTCCTCCTGGATCGACGCCGCCAAATTACACTGCTCCGACAGTAAGAACCCCACCGCCTCCTCTTCCTTTTATTATCCTGTAACCTTTCCATTCACCTAGAGCCACTGGGAAAAAGTGTGTGTGTGAGAGAGAGAGTGGCCCCCGGTGTCCTCCATGCTTCTCCCTCTCTCTCTAAATAAATACACACAGAGACAGATCATCAATGCACAGAGAGAGGCCCTGCTGCCAGGGCTGGCTGTCTGTCTGTCTGTGCCCGGCTCCCCGTGGCAGCCCGCGGGGTGGGCTTTCACAGCCCCACGGTGTATCTGTTTAAAAGGCTACTCTGTTGCTGCTTGCATAGTTTTTTTGGTACCTATCTGGGCCAGGTAGATGGCAATCCGGACTTGGGAGAAAATGTTGCATTGTCAATTTTTGAAAGATTTTTCATGTACAGTATTTATATTGATCTGTTTGCAAATAAACACTCTCTCCCCCCTTGACTTTGGTTTTCCCCCCCTTTTTGATCTTTTTTTCCTCATTTTCTTTTCTCCTTTTCTTTTTCATCTGCAGATGTAGATTTAGAAGAGGCTGGAAAAGAGGGTGGAAAAAGCAGGGAGGTTATGAGGCTTAATAAAGAAGGTAAGTGAGCTACTGGCATTTTAGTGTTAGCATGTGGCAGAATCTTCACCGGATTTCGACTATAATGTGAATTGTTCTGCTGGGTACAGAGTGACTAAGGCTTGTCAAAAATCGAGCACGCCCAGGTGACTACTGCTTCATGTTAACTTCTTTCAAAGTATAAATACAACTGGGGGGGGGAGAGGGGGGAGACTGTGGAAGGCAGAAGTTTACAGCACTTGAGCCGGAGTCCACATTTGGACCTTCTGATGCATATGTGCCATTCACCTTTGGAGCATCATTGCCAAATGGGGGTGGGGGGTGGGGGGTGTCTTGAAATCTCTGAAATGAGGAGCGGGGCTCCCTTTACCAGCATCCCAGCCTTCCTTGTGGGTACATACACAACAGTTTAATGAGCCCCACATGGTCAGTCATTCCAGCAGCTACTTCTCCACTCTCCACTGAAAACCACTGTACATGGCAGACCTTTGCAGCAAGTTACATTCGGCCCACTTTGTGTTTGGTCATAGATTGTTGTGTGGCGGGCAGGGCTAGGGGCGGCTGTGTGTGCAGCCTCCCCCCCCCCCCCCCCCACCGGTCACACATCTCTGTTTCCCCAGCCTGGAAATATAGTACCTGAAATGGGACACAGTGAGTAGATAGGTCATCCCAGACTGAGGCAGGGATGGGAAGCCACGGCCTGCTGGAACTGGGCATCAAACACACATGGTCGTCATAAATAAATCATATCCTGTTCGCGTTTGCAGGCCTGCCATATGTAACTCTGGCCTATGGGCTTCACATGGAGCAACTCCAGAGGCCACTTTCTGCTGAACAAATGGATGGGTTCATTTGAATTGTGATTTACTAACTGGTGTCTTGTAAACATGGCTGGCTGAAATTGGAGTGGGAGGAAGGCATGAGGGGGCAGAAGAGGTTGGTGGGAAGTGTTGAAGGAGTTCAGCCATCACTAGGCCGTGGGAGCATTGCTCATCCAAAATGAATGGAAAAAAGGCCAGTTAGACTCCAAAGAATGGTCTCCCTCATAAACCAGGATAGCACCCTGTAAGGCAGTTAAAACCTACTTGGAAGCGTTTTGTGGATCACCACCTAAGACAGTCAGTTTTCTGTGCCCAGGGATTTCCTGACCATCCAGTGAGAGGAGAATTTGTGCTTTAGAAAAAGTAGCATGGAGGTTAAAATATTCAAGGACAGTTCTCTAGCATAGTGTTCCTGCTAATTAATCACTTCGGGAACGAAACCTTATTCTAAAGACGTTTGCCTCTAAATATCGTAGTGTGGTCCTGCCATGTGTCTCCAGGATGCACAAGGGAACAATATCAAGTGGACTTCTTACAAGTGGCAGCTTATTGGCGCTAAATGTCCATGCGTGTTGGCAATGGAAAGTATCACTAGAAATTGTTTTTCTTTATAAACTCTTGAAATCTTTAAGAGCTCATGGGACTCCGTTGTCAGACCACTGGCCATGAAAAGGTTTCCACGAAAAAAGATGAGGTTGTGAAAACCTTTAAATAAGTTGAGTAAAGGTCATGGTGTGCCACTGATTGGTACCTCTCAGGCCTGGGTGACAGATTCTGACCATACCGCACAAAATTCATATTCTGCACCCTCCTCCCTGCGTCCATCTCAAAAGACTCTTGTTCTCAGATTCTCTTTGCCTCTTGGGAAATAGATTCTTTTAAGGAAAAATGAAAAGCTCGCCTTTCCTCAGAAGTCACAAGTGGTACATCCTGCTTATTATAGTCTTTGTCCTGTAAAGGTACAAAGATTTAGCTCCTAATTATATGCGTTTGCATTAAGGACACCTACTGTTCAGTGTAACATGCAATTGCTGAGTTCACCAAATAGCCATGTATGGGGTGAAATCTCTTTGTTCGTGGGCCTGGTGGAGCAAGCTTGGGTTAGCAATCCCTGAAGGTCTTCCTGGTATGTGCATACAGTTTTCTTTAGAGGGAGAGGATATAGTAGTAAATATCTATCTATCCCCCCACCACCACCATGGTGAGGAATTGAAGGGTTGAACTGGGATTCTGTGTTGGTATGTTTGGTTGCTGGAATCTCCAGAAACACTGGTTGCATTAGTCTCACCATGGGCCTTCTTGTCGGAGTCACCACGTGGGTGGCCTCCAGATGGATATGTGTTTGTGGATGGGTCTCCAGGACACAAAGTGACCTAGGTGTGATCGTGTTTATCCACGGGTCTGAAATGCATTGATTGGCCATGATGCAGTAGGGAGGAAGCAGGTCTTGAAAAGAAGTTTGGGCTTTAATGGCAGTGAATGAGTTAGGAATTCCAACTGAGAAATCAAGGGATGTGATCCACATTTTAAATATTTTAAATTGTTGTAAAAGAAATATAATGTAAAATTTGCCATTTTAACCATTTTAAAGAGTATAATTCAGTGGTGCTAGGTACATTTACAGTGTTGTACAACCATCATCATCCCTATACATTTCCTGAACTTTTTCATCATCCCAACCAGGAGCCCTGTAGCCATTACATGATAACTCCCCATTGCCTTTCCTCTCAGCCCTGGAAACCTCTGTTCCATCTGCTGTCTCTATGAAGATGCCTATTTTAAATTCTCTCTCTCTCTCCCTCCCCCACTCCTCTTTCTCTCCCTGCCCCCTTTCTCCCTCTCTCTCTGAAATGCAATATTTTTCCCTTTGTGTCTGGCTTATTTCACTTAGTATAACATTTTCATCATTTATCCATGCTGTAGCAGGTGTCACAATTTTTTCCTTTTTACGGCTAAATTATATTCCATGGTGGGTATAGACCGTGTTTTATTTATCCAGCCATCTGTTGATGGGCATTTGGCTTGTTTCCGCCTTTTGGCTGCAGTGAATAACGCTGCTGTGACCATTGTTGTGATATGATATGTTTTATAGACGAAGCTATAAGGGAGGAAAGTTAGGCTGGAAATGCGAAAGAAGAAACATTTTGCCTTCTGCCTCTATCTGGCCACAGCCTCAGAAGACACAGGAAGGACTTGCCGGCGTTTGGAATAGCCTGATTATTGGAATGTGCTTCCTTCTTCATTCCTCATTCCTTTCACCTTTTGTGGCTTCAGTTCTCCACCTGGATGAAATGTTAACCGAATGCTTCAGAGTTTCTGTAGTGAATTCTTCGCATTCATGTTATTATTTCATCCAAAGTTAGTGAAAATCACAGGCAAGAGGACTTTGGCAAACACCCTTGAGCCTTGCCAGATGGTCACCTGGGTTCAGAAGGTGCCGTGAACTCCATGCTTGGAGGTGGTGACATGGGGTTATGCCGAGGGCTGCCTGGAGTGCCAATGGAGCAGGAGAGAGGGCTCTGGGGCAGCTTCCTGAAGTCCCCCTGTATGACCTTGGGAACATCGGCTCCCTTCTCTGGGCCTCTCCTCTCACTTGTAAAGTAGGGTGTGGGATGACACGTCCCCCAGGGTCCCTTTGAGATGGCTGACCCTGACTCTCTCTACTGAATGTACCTCTATTTGAGATCCAGTCATACCACCCAGGCTGTTTTTAAAGAAACAACAGCAACAAAATCAAGCCCTCACATTAAAAATATCTTAACTAACTACTACACACTGGGTCTGTTTTCTCATTTTATAATCTCTTGGTGGCAAACATCACCACATCTCCTACACAAGCAAATAGTTTGTGAAGAGTATGTGGCCTTTAGGAGTCTAAGAATACAGAGGGTCTGAGTTCAAAACCCAGGCGCATGCGTTCCCCTGAAGTGGAGAATAAGTGGACCTCAGTCAGCCTGGACCAGTGCGGCACTGAGATTCCTTAAGGCGTGGGGGGTCCCAGAAACCTTATTAGTCTAAGATGTGAAATTCATCTGTGAGAGAAAATTCCAAGGAAGCCCATTCATCTAGCTAACCTTTTAAAATAATTTTCTCTCTCTAGTTTCATAGATTTATCTGAAGACTTTTTTCCAGCTAATTGGGAAAAAGCTCTGTGATTTAGAAGGATGGTCTTCTTTTCTCATTGCCTCACCTGAACTTTTTTTAAGGATGTCAGTTCATAAATCGGGAACAGGGTGCATATGGCTCAAAATGGAGATGCTAACAGGGTTGTGAGGATTGACTGAGGTAATACAAAAGGACCCAGCACACAGTAAGCACATAATGTTTGCCTTTATTCTTTTTTTAACTGTTATTATATCATTATCACTTTTTAATGAAGCCAGTCCTAGAACACTTTATTATTATAATTAACTAGGACTTTCAACTACCCAGTGACGAATGGAAGAGAGATCCTGTATCAGAAATTTCATTTTTAGAGTAAACCATGTTATCATGATTTTATAAAGCTAGTGATTTTTAAAAAACCGATTACTATGACATCTTTGTGTTTCATGGGGCGCAGTTAATATGTAGTCATTGATAACTTTTATCAGAAGTTAGAAAATATACTTAGGCAGTTTCGGGCCTATGGCTAAGGAGGGTTTACAGCGCTCTCTCGGGGGACTGCTGAGATGTAGAGAATAATTTAAAAAATGATCGATAAGTTGTTTTATCTGGTCACTGAGACAAGAAAGACCTCCGAAGATCCTTGTTTGGGTCTTTTGGAAGCCTACGCTGGTTTCTCTGGACATTTGTCTGTGTTTTAATGTTCCCAGATGTTGTGATTTGATGGAGGTAAACCTGCGGCATGCTTCCAGTTTGGAAACTGTTCTGGGGCCAGTTAAGGTCTTGCCACGATGGTAAGAGGTTGCTGCTGTCCCCTGAGATGCTGGCAGAATGGGGCTGGAACGCCGGAGGAAGCCGGGAATGTGGGAACGTGTCCAGCTCAGGTTTAGGAGTCTTGCAGTTGTGGCTGGTTGGGAGCAAACTGGAGGCAAAGATGGCCACTGACCTGGGAAGAGTGAGGTGTTCTTAAAAGCCAAGCCAGGGAAGCCAGCGACAAGTGGTGGAGATTTATGGGAATCTGCGGGCGGCTTCCCTTTGTCATTATACAGACAACTCCGTATCTATGCTAATAGGAGATGGGAAGACACCAAGTCC